ACTACCAATTCTCTTCCTGCTGTTTCCTGGCTGATCCTCCTATCAGATCCTCCAGCTGCTCTGTGATACCATCCCCACAACTTCTCTCTGCCAGATCTTCGCAGATACTGTGTTTCCTTGCTAACTTTGATAGGAATTGCAATTGCATGGCGAGAAATGGTCATGCAATAAAGTTTTATCAGTGCTCAGGAAAAACTAAGACACTTCATAGGACCGTGCAGAGCATACATGAGCTAGGTAATTGTGTTGAATATTAAGTTTCAAATTGTTATTGAATTAGTATCACAATTTTGAAAAGTTTGAGTTTGCATAGTAGTTCCAAGCGGTACAATTTGCATCTGGTGTCATTTGTGTGGACAAGGCTGCACTCTCTTAGCTTTACAAGTGAATTGTTCAAGTCAAATATAATGAGGCAATGCTTGTTCTGAGTATTCCTCTGGGCCTTAGGCTGTGGTAATACTCCAAGCACATTTCTTGTATGATTTAGGTAACTTTGTGTCTGTCCATAGGCAGAAACTTAATTTTCTGGAAAAACTGAGTTCATAATGAGTTTGGAAACAATAGAGCAGTTATTTCTAATAGTGGCACCAGCATTGTAATTTTGATGTGTAAGACTTAAATCTGGAGATCTGGTGCTTCAGTTCTCGTGACACCTCACTATGTGAACCTGTTGGGCGAAGTAGTGTCGAAGATACTTTGCAAGTCTTACCTGTTCTCACTGCGTGGGAACAGCAATATCTAAAAGTAGTCTTTAGAATTGCTTTTGGACTGCTTTGGTTCCCAGCATTTTAAAAAAGTAATAATCAGTACTTTTGAGGCTGGTCATTCTTATGATAACTTTTCATATTTCACCTTTTCCTAGCTGCTCTGTTGTAGGCACCCTAGAGGAGGATTGTTTATCAGACCAAACAAGGCAAATTTTGGGAGTAGTTTTTCTTACTGCAGTGAAGGATTGGTACAGATCAAATGAAGAGCAAGGTGTTCAATATGGGATGGAGAATACGTTCGTATTTGGAAAGAAGACTGTGGAATTTGTTGGCATGGATTCTGTTGCAGAACAACAAAGGCAAGTGTAATGTATGAAAATCTAAGATACACTCTTAGCAATTCATTAGTCAAATTTCTTTACAAGTCAATTTCCTTACGGTTCAGCTGTAAGAAGAGGAAACTCTCTGCCTTGCATATAATATTCTAATATCTCTAAAAATAAGCCAAACTGCACAATGATGGAAAAGACAATAAATCTTCCTATTGTGGCTTCACAATTTACCTGTTTTACAGATAGGAACTGGGATTATGTCATGTTTAAGTGCTCACAATCCTCATTTTGATTTCACAAAGTAGGAGGTGATTATATTTGGGGAGGAATGAGTGAGGTAAATTATTATGGTATTGGCAATCATACACATGCATGGGCTTCTTTAAATAGATGTACTTTAATAATTTCGTAATATTGCACAGTGTTACTTCATCTTTCTTTACGCATATCAGCAATGACTTTGTAACGAAGAAAGGGAAGGCAAGAAGTCACGGCACTGCTAGTGAGGACGTCTTTTGGTCTGTTCAGGTCGTGTTCATTTATGAGGAAGGTTAAGAAAGGAAGTAACTTAATGACATGTAATAGATGGCAGTTTTAATGCCCTCCAGCAGTACAGGGGTGTCATCAGTTCAGTAGGTGGCAGTCTCCTCCTGAGCTGACATTCTACAAAAATTCTCCCTTTGTCCCCCCATACTAAACAGTTGAAAATACTCTTCTTTTTTGTGACACAAAGAATGCCTAAATAACTGAGAACCTCTTGCCAATAGTATTACAAAAAACTTTAAACTTGGAAACTCTAATTAAATTCCAATTTGCATAGCTATATTTTATCTGTTTTGTCACTCTTTTTTCTAGTTGGATGAGAGTTGGTTGGCTTTTTCGGGGTGTAGGGGTTATGAGTCAACAAGACCTATTTTGCAGTAACAATGTAAAGGCAAAAAATAGGGAAGATGTATCTGGTTTTGAGTAAGAAAGACACTGCAATGTAGCAATCTGCACACTGTCAATTCTTAAGGAGAATATATATATTGAAAAGGCTATTATTTAGTTGCAACAAGCAGATATTTATATAATGTACCTAGTTCTGTTTGAAGGTTACTTAACAGAATATTCTTTCTCATTTAACCCTCTGAACCAACTGGTAGATGTCTCAGTGCATGAGTGTGCTGTGCTGGTCAGAAAGAGGAAATCAGGAGAACATATGCTAGTATCCTTTTTTTTTTGCTATATTGTACGATACCACAAATAAAGTACATATTTTAGCATTCCAAGTGTTCACTTCAATGAATTAATTTGTATTCTTTTATTAAAAAAAAAAAAGAGCTGAAAACTGCAGTTTATATCTAGAAGCTTAATGCAGTGTTTACAGAGTTAAAAAGTAGATGCCTACCATTTATGAGGAGTGCAAATCATGAATAAAACTAGAAATATTGTCATGAGTTGGTACTGTGACTGCAATTTCAGAAGGCTCCAGCAGTGCAAGTTTCTTTAATTTAACTCTAGAATAGATAACCCCATAAAAATACAACTGATATGCTTTATAGGTACCAGAGATATCCAATATATAATAGATAATGTATCCAGTATACCGCATGTTGTAGTGATGTTACAGAAACACAAAGCAGGTATTATTTTTTCATTTATAAGCACTGGTAAGAGTTCCTATCAGTACAGAAATGAATCCATTTTTGGATTTGTAAAGTTAAGCTCTTCTATAAAACGACAAGCTATTTCCATACAACAAATCAAAATACAATTTGCTTAACTGAGCAGTAATATCTCTTAGCCCAAACAAGTGTAATCTATTTCTGTTTGTTTGATTTAAAAACAAACTTTAATTCAAATTCCTGAAAAAGGAATTCAGATATCAGGCACATAAATCTATCAAAAAAATCTAGTATCATCTTGGGAGCTAGTAACAGCTATTACTTCTCAAGTTCAAAATCTGAAAACGTCAGGTATAAATATTCATATTTGTGTTTCTGTTCCTCTGGTGTAGGGACAAAAGAGAGGCAGCTCTTTTAGTTACAGTTACAGTTACATCTGAAGATGCCTCAATACTAATTTTAATGGTACCTAGGTTTTTAAATACTATTTTCTTTCCTTTTAAACTCTTGTCCTTAAACAACTTATATCTGTGCTATATTTTTCAGCCAGCCATGAAAGTGGGTGGCAGGAAACCTGTCTGCACACACAGTTATGGCGAGGCACTCAAGCACGTGCATTACCTCCTAGAGGGCTGCTCGGAGCTCCACAGAGGAGGTTACAGACCCATGAGCACCAGACCACAGGTGCACCTGCCAGCAGGATCAGCACCACAGCAGACCCACAAGGGGAACCCTCCTCGTTCAGGACACTTAATAGGAAAGAGCCTAAAAAGGCAAACGCTGGTGCCACGGGCAGCCCACTGCAGCTGTACATTTGTGATACCACAGGCTTGGCATAGCGGTCCACATGTTTTGCATTCTTCCACCACCTTGGATGTAATCAAACTTTGAGAGATGTCACAACCTGCTGTAACCAAGCCATTCATACAAACATGGAGGTCATGCATAGAGAACATCTTAAAGCAATTTCTAATAAAACTTGTGAGACGTTAGATACATCCACAGCCATCCCTCTGTTTGTGCACAATGTCTAAAGAGAGAAAAGTATGTGCTATGGCCATGGCAGTGTTTGGCTGTACAAAAGTTCCATTAACAGATAAATTCTGCTTTACTTATTATGGAATAAAAACCTCCTGCTTGCCTTTTCCAAGGTAAGCTTATAACAGGGAGGTGGAGGGAGAGAAATGAGAGGGAAACACAGCTATGACCCAAGAAGTCAATTAAACCTGTACGTCTCATTAGTGCTCTGAAGGATGGACTAGTTTTACTGCTAGCGATGTAACATTCATCACGCCAGCCCAGACCACTCATTGCAGGTGATCAAGGCTTGAACAGACAAAACCAGATCTCAAAGATCCAAATTCAGAGCACATAAGCACGGAGTAGCCCTGGAAAACACACAGTGACAAGATGGACATGCTGAAGGGTTTGCCACTCCAGGACAAACACAGGGATGGGCAGCCATGGCACCTGCCCCGTCCTTAGTCAACAGCAGCTTTGTTAAGGCCCGACTCATGGCTCTGCTGGTTATTGTGGAACTTTCACTTTTTATTTGAAAATCACCATTCTTCATGGTGGGCGAGGTCCCCACCAATGGGGGCAGCGATCCTTCCCCACCACAAGGGCAGACTGCCCAACCTCCCCTGGGCTGGGAAACCAGCCCACACAGGTGGGCAGAAAGGCTCCTTCCCCACAAAAACTTACGGATAAGAACATTTAGGCTCAATGTGTTTTCCCCTTGAAATACAAAAAAAATATTGAGAAGCTCACTTACACTGCTTCTACTTTACTTACCAAGAGATTATTTACTACTAAATATGCTGTAAAGACATTCAAATATTAAAACACAGACTGTGCGGTATTAATTCCTACTGATTTGTCTTCTAGGAGGTTGTTTCAGTATTAAACTTCTATTATTGTCCCCTCTAAACAGTTTTCTGGGATAAAAGCTTACTTTGATAGGAAGTTGAACAAGTTGCAGTCAATATTGTTTTCAATAATCCTCATGATCAATACGTATTTTACAAAATTACTGGGGAAAAAAAAAAAAAAAATCAATCAGGAATGGTTAGAGACATCTCCCTCATAAAGAGAGTGGACCTGCTGTCTTGGCATGTTAGTATCCCTAAGCAGTGCTCTGAGTTTGTCGGACCCTTAGAACAGTGACTGTCATGTGAGAAACAAAGCTGCTGCCCAGTTTTTCCAGTTCTCAGACCACGCATAAGAGCTGCAGCCTCCTGCACTTGTTCTTTCCTTTTAACTGTTGGAAATCAATAGACTATTACAGGGAATCAACTCCAAGATGGTGCTTTTTTTTTTTTCCCCAAACTAAAAATGACTCAAGTCAGTAACTGTAAAACTCTTCAAATACATTTAATTGTCACCAATGAAAATACTGTACAATACCCAAGAAAAGGGGTGGGAAGGAAAGGCAATGAATTTTAGGACTGGCTTTCATCAATGTCTTTGTCTGGATCGATCTCTGCAGCTTCACTCTCCTGTTGCTGTTTCTTCCAGAGTTTAGCCATGGCAAGTAGTTTGAGATTAGGCTGATTGGCAGTATCTTCTGGGAAAATATAATCATAGTACTCCTCCCAGCCAGCATCAGACTAGGAAAAAAAAATACCACAAAGCGAATTTAATTTGTATGTTAGCTATTAGAAAGTGCTGCTAATGGACATAACAGCGAGGTAAAATAGAAGTCACTGTTTGTTGGACAATCCACATCAGCTGAAACCAAAGAGCTGCATGGGTGTAAGACAGAACTACTGCTGCTGTGCATCATGAGCAGCCAGATTTGATGAACAGCCTGGCTACAGTTTCCCAAGCAAAATTAACATCTGGATTTGATGATCTTAAAGGTCTTTTCCACCCTAAACAACTCTATGATTCTAAGAAACAAACACTCTCTGCATAGTACTACCTAAAGCTGTTTGCTTTGTCTAAGGCAGGAGTTTAAAGCAAACGTAGCTTGAGCATTTGGTACAAGTATTTCACCCTGAGCCCACCACGATTGCCCACTGAGCCTGCTGAAGAGCAGGGAACTTGGCAGCACATTTCAGGCCATTGCTTTTTTCCAGTTACTGCAGTAAAATTGGTACACAGTTATAGCACCCATCGCAACCAACTTTGCTTTGTGTACCAGACCGCAGCATAAAGCCACCAAGGACTCAAAGTAACTACTTGTAGAATTTTTTCCTCTTACCCCATCTTCAGCTTGCAGTTTTCTCCTCTTCTTTATTTTTTCAGGCATGAGTTTATCTATCCTCTCTTTAGTGGTATCAGTTCCAAACTCCTCCTCAAAGCTCCTCCAGGACTCCAGAAGCATTACTCTCTCCTCTTTCTCCTCACAGCTTCGCATTGCCTTATTAGCCTCTTCATAAATCTGCCGGCATCTTGACAAACTCCCCTCCATTCCTGCAGAGAGCTCGAACTGTGCAAAGCTGATCCATACCTGTGGTCAAACCAAACCAAAACCAAGCTGACACCTCCATGCTGAAGTCTGATAGCTAAGGGATAGTTTAAAAAGCCAAAGCAGCCAAAAAAGGAATCGTCAAGGCAAGTCTAAAGTACTTTTTCATAAGCAGATACCTAGAAAATTAATGTTTGGGTCACACATGTGAGATTTGCCCCATTTTGGCAAGACAGAATATTCATGTAAGCAGTGTTGACAAATTCTGTGTGGTTGCTTCGGGTCAGAATAAACCCACCTGAGTTCAGTAAAATGACAGCACCAAACTACATTGGAAAATTCACAACCATTTTTCCCTTGCAATGTTTTTGTAACTAAAATTCCAAAGCTACTCAGCAGG